CAGCAGGAGGGCATTGAGCAGTCGTTCACGCTTCCGGCCTCTCCACAGCAGAATGGGGTTGCTGAGCGCCGCATTGGCTTGGTCATGGAGGTCGCTCGTACCTCCTTGGTTCATGCGGCTGCCCCCCACTTTCTGTGGCCGTTTGCAGTCCGATACGCTGCGCATCAGCTCAACCTCTGGCCCCGTGTCTCCTTACCGGAGACTTCTCCGACACTGCGTTGGACGGGAGAGGCTGGCGATGTGTCGCGTTTTCGGGTCTGGGGATCTCGAGCTTTTGTTCGCGATACGTCCGCGGACAAGCTCTCCCGTCGAGCTGTCCCCTGTGTCTTCCTTGGCTTTGTCCCGGACGCGCCTGGTTGGCAGTTCTACCACGCCACCTCGCGTCGTGTCCTGGCCTCTCAGGACGTCACTTTTGACGAGTCCGTCCCCTACTACCGCCTCTTCCCCTACCGCACTGCCCCGCTCCCCCCCCCGCCTCTCTTCCTCGCTCCAGGTGCTGAGGTACCAGACCCCCTCCCCCCTCAGGGTGCCGCTCCCTCAGGTGTGTCCCAGGTAGACCCGGTTGAGCCTGTCGAGGTAGCTGTTGACTCTCGTCCTGCTGGGGGTGCTGAGCCTGACCGTGAGGAGTCTGAGGGTACTGAGCCTGGGGGTGTGGAGCCTGGGGGTGCGGAGCCTGGGGGTGCGGAGCCTGGGGGTGCTGAGCCTGGGGGTGCGGAGCCTGGGGGTGCGGAGCCTGGGGGTGCTGAGCCTGGGGGTGCTGAGCCTGGGGGTACTGAGCCTGGGGGTGCTGAGTCTGGGGGTGCTGAGTCTGGGGGTGCTGAGCCTGAGCGTGCTACACCTGGAGGAGCCCTCTCCTCCCGGCAGCTGCAGGAGCGGTACCTACAGTACTGCCGCCTCCGGAGAGGTGCTGCTGGAGCTCGTACCAGTACTTCCCCTCCTGCCCAGGAGCTCCCCCCCATTCAGCAGATCCGAGAGTGGTACACGCGGCGCTGCAGTCTTCGGAGTGGTGCTCCTGGTGCTGCGGACCCTGAGGGTGGCGCTGCTACTAGTGCTGAGGACCCTGGCGTTGGAGCTGCTGCTGGTGCTGCGGACCCGAGCGGTGGCGCTGCTGCTGGTGCTGAGGACCCGGGCGTTGGAGCTACTGCTGGAGCTGAGGACCCGGACGGTGGAGCTGCTGCTGGTGCTGAGGACCCGAGCGGTGGAGCTGCTGCTGGTGCTGAGGACCCGGACGTTGGAGCTGCTGCTGGTGCTGAGGACCCTGCCGCTGGTGTCTCTGCTGGTTCTGGAGACGCTACGCGGCCGCGACCGTACTTCGTACCACTTCTTCAGCAGGTTCTTGGTCAGGCTCCTCCTCCTTGTCCTCCTCCCTCCGTAGAGTGTCCTCCGCCTGTCCAGTCGCAGTCACAGTTCCCGCCTGCCTCGCCTCTCCCTGGTCCCTCTCCTTACACTGGTCCCACAGGAGGTCTTACAGAGCGTCGTGAGCCTGAGTCTCGTCCTGCGTCGCCTGTTCGTACTGCTCGCACTGGTCGTCGTGTCCCACGTGAGCGTCCTCCTCCTGTCCCTGGCACTCACTACATGACTCTGCGTCCCTCCACTGCTCCTCAGCGTGTTCCGCTGCCGTCTCCTCCTGCGTCCTCTCTGCCTACTCTTCCTGATCCGGAGTCTGACTCCCGTCGTGCTGCCAGTCCCACTGTCACCCGTCTCCTCGCTACTGTTGTCACTGACCCTACCTTTGAGTCCTCTGCTGCGTCTGCTCTGGTCGCTGAGTTGATAGACTACGCCACTAGCCTTGTTGCTGAGTGTTGCTGAGCCTGAGTCTGTCTGTCCTCCGTCCGTCGGGGGTGAGTGTGCTCTTGGCACGGACGTCCTTGAGGACAGACAGGAGGAGTTCCAGTGCTTTGCTGCTGCTTTACCCCACCTCGTGTCCATGCTAGTTGCCCCTGAGGGAGACCCGGATGCACCAGACATCCCGACCCCGCGCACTTACGCTGAGGCGATGGCGGGTCCCTACTCCTCTCAGTGGCAGACAGCCATGGACGCAGAGATGGCTTCTTGGAAGTCCACAGGCACCTACGTCGACGAGGTTCCCCCACCTGGGGCGAACATCGTCAGTGGCATGTGGATTTTCAGGGTGAAGCGGCCACCGGGTTCTCCTCCTGTCTTCAAGGCGCGCTACGTGGCTCGAGGCTTCAGTTAGCGAGAGGGAGTTGACTTCTTTCAGACCTTCTCCCCCACCCCGAAGATGACCACTCTTCGGGTGCTGCTGCACATAGCCGCTCACCGCGACTACGAGCTTCACTCACTTGACTTCAGCACTGCTTTCTTGCAGGGCAGCCTACACGAGGAGATCTGGCTGCGCCGCCCTCCTGGCTTCACTGGGTTGGTTCCTCCTGGTACCCAGTGGAGGCTTCAGCGGCCGGTCTACGGTCTCCGCCAGGCACCGCATGAGTGGCACGACACACTGAGGACGACACTTGCGGCTCTTGGGTTCGCTCCCTCTACTGCTGACCCGTCACTGTTTCTACGCACAGACACCTCACTGCTGCCGTTCTACATCCTCGTGTACGTCGACGACTTGGTCTTTGCCACTGCTGACACCGCGGCACTCGCCCACGTGAAGTCGGAGCTGCAGAGGAGACACACGTGCACAGACCTAGGTGAACTGACAAGCTATCTTGGCTTGCGGATCACCCGGGACAGAGCACGGCGCACCATCACCTTGACTCAGTCACACATGGTGCAGCAGATCCTTCAGCGCTTCCGCTTCACGTACTCCTCGCCTCAGTCCACTCCTCTGCCTACCGGTCACTCGCTCTCAGCTCTGCCTTCGGATGAGTCCGTAGAGCCGAGTGGCCCGTATCCAGAGCTTGTGGGCTGCCTCATGTACCTGATGACCTGCACTCGACCTGACCTTGCATACCCTCTTAGCATCCTTGCACGCTATGTCGCTCCTGACCGTCACAGGAAGGAGCACATGGATGCCGCTAAGAGGGTGTTGCGCTACTTGTGCAGTACGTCGGGCATGGGGCTAGTGCTTGGAGGGCGAGACCGAGTTGTACTTACTGGACACTCAGACGCTTCTTGGGCGGACGACCAGGCTACTCAGCAGTCGTCTCAGGGTTACACCTTCAGCCTTGGCTCCGGCTCAGTTTCTTGGCGTTCTACACGCTCTTCTTCTGTTCTCAGCTCCAGTTGTGAGGCTGAGATCTACGCCACAGCCATGGCTGCCCAGGAGCTACGCTGGCTGACCTACCTGCTGACCGACTTGGGAGAGCGGCCTCGTTCTCCTCCAGTGCTGTACGTCGACAACCAGGCTGCCATTGCCTTGTGTGAGGAGCACAGACTGGAGCACAGAACGAAGCACATCGCCCTGCGGTACTTCCTTGCTCGAGAGCTGCAGCAGCGTGGTCAGCTTCGTCTACGTTACGTGGCCACTGAGGCCAACCTTGCTGATGTGTTCACCAAGGCGCTTCAGCCTTGTGACCATCAGCGTTTCTGTACTCTTCTAGGCCTTGTGCCTGCTGGACCTCACTTACTTACTTCTTGACTCTGCTTGTACTGTGATCTTTATATATATGCCTGCATGTTTACACTTGCTAGGTTGTGATCACTGTATCTCTTGCTATATTATCAACCTGCATGTGAACTGGTCTTGTGACCACTTGCTTGTGCTCGGAATTTGTGTGGTATCCTTGAGATCCACCCTGAGCTTGTTTTGCTTTGCTTTGACTGGTCTTGTGACCCCTTGCTCTCCCCCACTTTGCCTATGGGGGTGTGTCAAACATTATATATGTTGTGTTTGTTTAGGCTACAGTGGGTTAGCCTATAGGGGGTACACAATTCTAGGGTTAGGTACTTGTACTGATTTCACTGCTAGTTCAATCATTCCTGTCTGTTGATTTCGACATATCGCGGACAAGGGCACGAGCACCCCAGACTCGGAAACGCGACGCATTGCCAACCTCTCCCGTCCAACGCAGTGTGGGCGAGGTGTCTAGCAAGGAGACATGGGGCCAAGAGGTTGAGCTGATGCGCGGCGTACCGAACCGCAAACGGCCACAAAAAATGGGGAGCCGCCGCATGGATCAAGGAGGTACGAGCGATCTCCATGACCAAGCCAATGCGGCGCTCAGCAACCCCATTTTTCTGCGGTGAGCCCGGAAGCGTAAACGGCTGCTCGATGCCCTCCCCCCGACAGAAGGCCTGCAAGAGGTCAGAGGTGAACTCACCACCTCTGTCAGAGTGCAGACGCAAGACAGGTTGGTCCGTACGAAACCTCCGGTGGAGCTGGAGACGAACTCCTCGGATCCAAGGGATCATGACAGTAGGGACCTCACCCTTGGTGCGCAAGGGGAAGACCGTGGTGTAACGCGAGGAGTCGTCGACTGCCAGCAGAAAGTACCGCTCACCGCCCTGTCCACGAACGCGGGCTGGGCCCCACACGTCCAGGTGGAGGGTCTGCAGAGGAGCCTCGGTCGGGGGAAACGAGGAGGAGTGAGGAGCGGCGCGCTGCCGCCCCTCGACGCAAGGAAGGCAGGGCGGCGCAGGCGAGGCAGGGAGGGGAGGGAGAGACCTGGGAAGACCAGAGACAAGGAGGCGACGGTGCATGCCACGTAGACGTGGCAAGGAGGGGTGACCCAGACGGTGGTGCCAGAGAAGAGTCTGGTGCGACAGGGAGCGACACTCACAAGGGGAGGCTACCAGACCTGACGCAGACACCTGACCGACAGCAGCGACCTGAGGAGACACAGTCGTCAGTGTGTAAAGACTCGACCCTGGCCGACGGGTGAACGTGGCCAGGTGACGGCCAGTCCTGGAGCACGTACAGATTGCCACACGCTGTCCTCCAGGGGTAAAGGTGTCAACCCAATGATCCTGGATGACTACGTTGCTCACCAAGTTTGTCGAGAACGAGGGGAGGTGGAGACCTGACAGTGAGCTAGACAGGAGCGCCGGGCACGGACGTGGTGGACCGTGCAAGAACTGGGCCCCCTGAGGGGTCAGCCGGAGAGACGGCAACAGATGCAGGGAGTGTTGTGCGTGCGGTCACGGAAGAAACAGCGAGAAGCACCTGAGTCAAGCGTGAAGGTGGGCAAGGCCTCAGCAGGCGCAGTACCTGAGAGAGCAGACTCGCTCGCACCTAAGGCAGCAGCCTCTATACCTAATTCTGGTGTGAAGGTGTGCAAGGCCTCAGCAGGCGCAGTACCTGAGAGAGCAGACTCGCTCGCACCTAAGGCAGCAGCCTCTATACCTGGGTCAGGCGGCATACACAAGAAACAGTCACCGTCAGCACTAACTTCGAATGCGTACATAGCAGAAATAATAGCATCAAAGTTAAGAGAAAAAATGTCTACACCAGCCTTAAGCAGATCATGCAAGCGAGGGCGCTCATACTCCTCGCCCATCTCCTCACGCCAGGCGTCGTCAAGGCGGGAGAAGCAGCGGTACTGGGTGTGGAACTTCCTGCATGGCTTACCCTTGTGGTCACCTGTGCGAAGGACATACGGGCAGCGACCACCACCCCCAGACTTCCCACGCTGAGCAAGCCACTCACGAAGCTGCTGGGATGTCTGGGGACGCTGCTGCTGCTGCTGTCTCTGGCCAGCGCCAGTGCCTCCACCCCGACCGCCACCGCCGCCACCTCCACCAGCTGCTGGGATGTCAGACCCGCCACCGCAGACGCCACCACCGCCCCGGCCGCCACCGCCACCGCCACCCCCACCGCCGCCACCGCCTCCACCACCGCTACCGACGCTACCACTCCCACCAGCACTCCCGCCACCAGCCCCTCCGCCACGTCCTCCTCCTCCACCTCCTCCACCACCACCCCCCCTCCCCCCCCAGTGCCACCTCCGCTACCCTTGGCTCCCTTGCCCTTGCCGTTGCGGCGCCTCCCACTAGGAGCAGAAACAGCACCAGCAAACTCAGCACCAATGAAGGCAACAGCAATAGCAGTAGCGAAGGAGGGGGCGAGGGGAGAGGGAGAGCACCCCTCAAATATGGGGTGATGGGGAGCGCCAAGAGCAGCACCTACAGTGACTATGTTCTTCTCTGCTGCAAGGAGGTGCTCCTCTAGGAGGTCGACAGTGAGCTCGGTGGGACAGCGAGCGAGAAAGTGGTCCCTGACCGAGCTATGAAGTGGAGGGTCCAGTACATCGGAGGTGGGTTCTTAGTACAAAACTCTCTGGGGAGGGCGGCGCGAAGGCGAGTGTCACTTGTACAAAGTTGGGTGATGAGATCCGCAACTGTGGCAAAGGTAGGGCAGCATGAGGCGGCTAAGCTCAGCAGTGGCAGGGGAGGAGTATCGAGCAACTACAAGGTCGTACAGGGCCTTAGCGGTTTTGTGCTCGCCAAAATGCGTGAGTTCGGCTAACGGCAGGTGATTGCGAACGGCTAGGCGAGCAGTATCATCACGAGTCTGCCACTGGGAACGGGCGCTAAGCTCAGCTGTGGCAGCAGGAGCGACTGAGGCACCAGACGTGTGGTCATAGAGAGAGACATTGTCCTTGCTATCGCTCATTAGGAACAGCTGCAAGTCATTGAGCTAGGTCTCGAACTGAATTGGGCGGCCCTCAGCATCGAACGACAGAACGCGGAGGGTGGCCATAGCTGCCGGCGCGGGACTAACAGGGCACAGCGATTGCAGGCAAGCAGCTGTAGCAGGGGCGGCGCGCTAGGGCGTAGCAGGCAGCCACGATAGAGGCAGGCGGCGCACGGGGCTACAGGTGGCCGGCAGGGCAGTAGGGCGGGCTGCGCGCAGGGCATAGCTAGTGTCTCTGGCAGCAGGGCAGGCGGCGCACGAGGCAGCAGGGCGGGCGGCGCACGAGGCTGCGGGGCAGCGTGACGGGCGCCGCGCAGGTGCAGCAGGCAGTCGCAGCAGCAAGGCGCGCGGGGCGTAGCAGGCAGCTGCGGCAGAGGCAGGCGGCGCACGGGGCTACAGGCGGCCGGAGGCAGCAGGGCGGGCCGCGCGCAGGGCGTAGCAGGCGGCTGCGGCAGCGGGGCAGGCGGCGCACGAGGCAGCAGGGCGGGCGGCGCACGAGGCTGCAGGGCAGCGTGGCGGGCGGCGCGCAGGCGCAGCAGGCAGCCGCAGCAGCAGGGCGGGCGGCGCACGGGGCTGTAGGGCAGCGCGATGGGCGGCGCGTGGGGCGTAGGCGGCTGGCGAGGCAGCGCGCGGGGCACGCGGGCTGCTAGCGGGCGGCGCGCGAGCTGGCAGAAGCTGCGCGCGGGCAGCGGGCGGGTCGCGCGAGCTGCTAGCGGGCAGCGTGCGGGCCAGCAGAGGCGACGCGCGGGCCGCGTGGGCTGCTAGCGGCGCGGCGCAGGGAAGGGCAGGGCGTGCGCAGGGCTGCGCAATGCAGGACAAGGCAGGGCAGACAGACTCAGACTCAGACTCAGCAACGAGGCTAGTGGCGTAGTCTAGACGACAGGCAGCAGCAAAGTCAACTAACTCAGCGACCAGAGAAGACGCAGCGGTGGACTCAAAGGTAGGGTCAGTGACAACAGTAGCGAGGAGACGGGTGACAGTGGGACTGGTAGCACGACGGGAGTCAGACTCCGGATCAGGAAGAGTAGGCAGAGAGGACGCAGGAGGAGACGGCAGCGGAACACGCTGAGGAGCAGTGGAGGGACGCAGAGTCATGTAGTGAGTGCCAGGGACAGGAGGAGGACGCTCACGTGGGACACGACGACCAGTGCGAGCACGACGAACAGGCGACGCAGGACGAGACTCAGGCTCACGACGCTCGGTAAGACCTCCTGTGGGACCAGTGTAAGGAGAGGGACCAGGGAGAAGCGAGGCAGGCGGGAACTGTGACAGCGACTGGACAGGCGGAGGACACTCGACGGAGGGAGGAGGACAAGGAGGAGGAGCCTGACCAAGAACCTGCTGAAGAAGCGGGACGAAGTACGGTCGCGGTCGCGGCCGCGCAGCGTCTCCAGAACCAGCAGAGACACCAGCAGCAGGGTCCTCAGCACCAGCAGCAGCTCCAACGTCCGGGTCCTCAGCACCAGCAGCAGCTCCACCGTCTGGGTCCTCAGCTCCAGTAGTAGCTCCAACGCCCGGGTCCGCAGCACCAGCAGCAGCGCCACCGCTCGGGTCCGCAGCACCAGCAGGAACTCCACCAGCCGGGTCCTCAGCTCCAGCAGCAGCTCCACCGCTCGGGTCCCCAGCTCCAGCAGCAGCTCCACCGTCCGGGTCCTCAGCTCCAGCAGTAGCTCCAACGCCCGGGTCCTCAGCACCAGCAGCAGCGCCACCCCCAGGGTCCGCAGCACCAGGAGCACCACTCCGAAGACTGCAGCGCCGCGTGTACCACTCTCGGATCTGCTGAATGGGGGGGAGCTCCTGGGCAGGAGGGGAAGTACCGGAACGAGCTCCAGTAGCACTTCTTCGGAGGCGGCAGTACTGTAGGTACCTCTCCTGCAGCTGCTGGGAGGAGAGGGCTCCTCCAGGTGTAGCACGCTCAGGCTCAGCACCTCCAGACACAGCACCCCCAGACGCAGCACCCCCAGGCTCAGCACCTCCAGACTCCGCACCTCCAGGCTCAGCACCCCCAGACGCAGCACCTCCAGGCTCAGCACCCCCAGACTCCGCACCCCCAGGCTCAGCACCTCCAGGCTCCGCACCCCCAGGCTCCGCACCCCCAGGCTCCGCACCCTCAGACTCCTCACGGTCAGGCTCAGCACCCCCAGCAGGACGAGAGTCAACAGCTACCTCAGCAGGCTCAACCGGGTCTACCTGGGACACACCTGAGGGAGCGGCACCCTAAGGGTGGAGGGGGTCTGGGACCTCAGCACCTGGAGCGAGGAAGAGAGGCGGGGGGGGGAGCGGGGTAGTGCGGTAGGGGAAGAGGCGGTAGTAGGGGACGGACTCGTCAAACGTGACGTCCTGAGAGGCAAGGACCCGACGCGAGGTGGCGTGGTAGAACTGCCAACCAGGCGCGTCCGGGACAAAGCCAAGGAAAACACAGGGGACAGCTCGACGGGAGAGCTTGTCCGCGGACGTGTCGCGAACAAAAGCTCGGGATCCCCAGACCCGAAAACGCGACGCATCGCCAGCCTCTCCCGTCCAACGCAGTGTCGGAGAAGTCTCCGGTAAGGAGACACGGGGCCAGAGGTTGAGCTGATGCGCAGCGTATCGGACTGCAAACGGCCACAGAAAGTGGGGGGCAGCCGCATGAACCAGGGAGGTACGAGCGACCTCCATGACCAAGCCAATGCGGCGCTCAGCAACCCCATTCTGCTGCGGAGAGGCCGGAAGCGTGAACGACTGCTCAATGCCCTCCTGCTGACAGAAGGCCTCCAAGAGGCCAGAGGAAAACTCCCCACCTCTGTCAGAGTGCAGACGCAGGACAGGGAAGTCGGAGCGGAAACGCTCACTGAGCTGGAGACGAGATCTGCGGATCCAAGGGATCAAGACATCAGGGACGTCACCCTTGGCGCGCAAGGGGAAGACCGTGGTGTAGCGCGAGAAGTCGTCAACAACAATCAGGAAGTACCTCTCCTGACCCTGACCACGGACGCGGGCTGGGCCCCACACGTCCATGTGGAGCGTCTGCAAAGGAGCAGTCGTCGGGGGGAAGGAGGAGGAGTGAGGAGCGGCGCGCTGCCGCCCCTCGACACAGGGAAGACAGGGAGGAGCAGGCGAGGGTGGCAGGGGAGGGAGAACCCTGGGAAGACCAGCAACAAGGTCCCGTTTGTGCATGGCCCGAAGGCGCTGCACAGACGGGTGACCAAGGCGGTGGTGCCAGAGGACAGTCTCATGCGCCAGAGAGCGACACGAGCAGGGGGCGGACAGCTGACCTGACGCAGACGCAGACGCGGACGCAGCTACCTGAGGGGACTTAGTGGTCAGTGTGTACAGGTCCGACCCCGGCTGCCGAGTGAAGGTAGCCAGGTGACGGCCCGTCCGAGCACACGTGCAGTGGGTCACGCGCTCGTAAGCAGGGGTGAACTGGTGGACACCCCCATCCTGGAGCGCACTACCTGCCACCAAGTTCGTAGAGAACGAGGGGAGGTAGAGACCTGACAGCGTGCCTGACGGGACCGCAGGACAAGGAAGGACAGTGGAGGAGGTCGCAAAGACCGGACCCCCAGAGGGGTCAGCGAGGGAGACAGCAACTGGCCGAGCGAGTGGCTCAAGGACAGTGCGGTCACGAAAGAAACAGCGAGAAGCACCTGAGTCCAGGGTGAAGGTGTGCAGTGCTGCAGTCGACTCAGTACCAGCGGGCACGGACGCACGAGCACCTAGAGCAGCAGCCTCACCAGGACCTGAGGTGGCAGACACGCGAGCACCTGCAGTGGCGGTCTCACTAGCACCTAGAGCGGCAGCCTCACTCACACTACACGGCAGCTGCACCGGTCCGCGCCCAGAAGCTCCCGAACGACGCACTCCAGAGTGACTACCACGACCACCACCCCGAGAGCCCAAACTCGCGTACCACTCACGAGCCCGCTGGAGCGTAAGAGGACACTGCTGCTGCACCTGTCCACTACCAGATGCTCCCGAACAACGCACGCCAGAGCGACTACCACTACGGCCACCCCGACAGCCCAAACTGGCGTACCACTCACGAGCCCGCTGGAGCGTAAGAGGACACTGCTGCTGCACCTGTCCACTACCAGATGCTCCCGAACAACGCACGCCAGAGCGACTACCACTACGGCCACCCCGACAGCCCAAACTGGCGTACCACTCTCGGGCCCGCTGGAGCGTAAGAGGACACTGCTGCTGCACCTGTCCACTACCAGATGCTCCCGAACAACGCACGCCAGAGCGACTACCACTACGGCCACCCCGACAGCCCAAACTGGCGTACCACTCTCGGGCCCGCTGGAGCGTAAGAGGACACTGCTGCTGCACCTGTCCACTACCAGATGCTCCCGAACAACGCACTCCAGAGCGACGACCACGACGGCCACCCCGACAGCCCCAACTAGCGTACCACGCACGCGCACGAAGCAGCTGGGGCGAAGGAGGGCACGGCAGCTGCACCTGTCCACTACCAGAAGCTCCCGACCGACCCACTCCAGAGCGACCACCACTACGGCCACCCCGACAGCCCCAACTAGCGTACCACTCACGCGCACGAAGCTGCTGGGGCGTGAGAGACTCACGCGCACGGCCCTGGAGCTGCATCTGGCCACGCCAGGAGCAGCAGTAG